TTTCAATACTGCGCTCAACTAACAAATTTTTTAATCGGAGAATAAATTAATACGCAATTTCTTAATCGGAGAATATACTTGTAGATTAGTGTTGTGCAATAAAGACAAAATTTTTTAAAAATTAATCATAAAATTTTGCATAGAAAAATTACTTTTAAAGCTCTAACAAAGTTGTACTATTATATTATAGCGCTTTAATAAATTTTATTTTACTTTAGTACAACACAATCTTATTTTTAATGATTTATACCATTTTCCCAACAATTACAAACCTTTTTTTAACATATCACTTTAACCCATATAAATAAAAGCAAAACAGAAACTTAAAAAACATAATATGAACGTCTGAAAATCTCAAAGACATGATTTACTCTTATGTTAATAACATTTTTAAAAACATAGGTGTATATATTAAATGTTCAATTTAGGTTCAATGAACTTTATACAGTATTATCCATTAATTGGGGAAGCTGAAAAAACCATATATGAGAAAATTCGCATATCACACACTTTCTATAACAATTAATTCAACAAATTTTGATAACGAAAATATTCAGATGACAAATAAAATGAATGATTGTAAAGTATCGAACAATATATATAAATAAAAAGTTTTTATAAGGTGAACCTATTTATTATTTTTTTTCTTGAACTAATTATGCGTATTATATTAAACCTTTGACGAGCTGTCAACATAAACATTATAAAAATAAGTACAGTAATACGAGTATAATAAATGAAGGGAAACATGCTTTATTGAAAATGGCAAGAACATATGATTTGAGTAAAATAATGTTAAAAAATGGTGTTTTCGTTCTATTAAAACTTATGATTTTATTGTTAGAATTTATAATTGGCTCAAATTACTTGGACTGATTAATTAGTCACCAACCTGGCACACACTCATAAATTGTGAAAAAGTGATATATCGAGATAATAATTGTCGGAAATCTAATATTTTGGAAAAAAGTATTTGTCACGGAGTTTACCGGATTACCGTGAACTTCTTGGTCTTTACTATCGGTCTTTACTCGCTTGGCTAATTTGTTCGAATGACCGTGTATTGTACAGGTCCTACCACCGATTATGTATTCACACAGATGACAGTTTATTCACTAAGACTAATTCAATGCTATCCAAGCTTGTTACTTTCCCTTTCGGGATCGATACCTTATATTAATTACTAATCGCTATTTTGCGTCACTGATTATTACATACTTTCCCATCGCTTATTATTACTAATCGCTAATGATTACCACATTGTTCATGCAATCACTATTTTAACTTTTAATTAATTCCATGTAACCCAGAATCACGCCATTCATGCAAATCCCGATCATGATCCCTAACCCTTGCGCTACGAATATCCGGGGCACCAAATTCGACCACGACAGTATTGTTGGGAAAAGGCTGGAAAGAGGGCGTCGGGAAGATACTATTTGGATTTGGTTTTATTATCGCTAATATCGATTTAATTCATTTATTTTATGCACGTTGAAAAAGTGTAATTGGTTCAGACTTGGGAAAATCGACGATACGGATATCAACTAATACTAAGGGGAGGGCCAGAAAACACGTGTTTTTTTTTTGGGGAGGAGGGGGGTCTTTTCAAAAAACACGTCTATATATATAAAAAATAGAGAAGATAAGAAACCTAGGGGGGAGGGGGGTAATTTTGTCAAAATAAAAAACACGTGTTTTCTGGCCCTCCCCTAATCTAATCCAAAACAACACTCTAATCGACCCTAATGTTGGAAGGCAGAAAGAGGCGTGGGGAGGCTTGGTCCAAGTTATTAGGGTCAAATAGAGCTCTAGACTACGTCACGAGGCTCAAATTCGGGATCACGGGATTCAAATAGTTTATCGGGAATTAGGAGAATGAACTTTTAGGAGTTTATGCGTGAAACGATAACTAACTTTATTCAAGGAGAGAAACCTCTCTTTATATATTTAATTTTACATATAATGGAATTCTAGGAATCTAGATTTATTCTCGCTATCTAAACTATTCCAACAATAAAATATTATCCTTTGAATAATATTTTATTCCCGTTATTCTTCAGATATCAAGAATTTACCGGGAATCACTGGAATTGAAGAGCCTGTCAACGAGGTGACAATTGTTGTAATATTTTGTACATTTATTTACAGGTAATTTTGGATTTGCATATGATTTTTATTATGATTATTGTTAGATTGTAATAGGGGTAAGGAATAATGGCTATAGTCAAGAATGAACCAGTGATACGGGATAAGTATTTAAGGCCAATTGTATAAGTGAAGAAGGTTATCTTTCTTTCCGCTATTGCTCGCCTTGTGAAGGCTAGCTCTATCGCCCTCCCTTACCCGCCCAATTTCAAGCAAGTAGTGTTGTTTTGGTTATATAAGGCTCCACGGCTGCATTAGCAGTGCAAAGACCAGTTTTGTATTTGGCTCCACGACTGCAGTAGCAGTGCAAGGACCGGGTTTGTATTTGGCTCCACGGCTGCAAGTTGCAGTGCAAGGACCAGTTTTTGTATTTGGCTCCGCGGCTGCAAGTGGCAGTGCAAGGACCATAATAAGAATGAACCCTCGTTTATATTGATATGAGCATATATACCGATTCTCTTTACAGCTATGAGAATATTTGACGGTTTCCCTCAACAAGAAGGAAATTTGGTTAGTGAATTGTTGTTTGGATCGCCCTTTATCTATGGGCATGCAGAGTATTAGTGGTGTCCTTTTCACCTGCAGTTTTGATAAATCTATATCTTTGTAGTTGAGAATTTGGTTATGTATATTAGAGCCGAAAGGTAGCGAGCCCCTATTCCCATATGTTCTTCAGATTTGCTAAATAAAATCATTCAGTTTGTTTAAATAAAGTCAGATGATCGAGCAATAATAATGTACTACATTTAGCCCTAAAATTAGAACTACAAGATAAAAATAGAATGTAGGAATCGATTTTGCCCCTCACAACGTGAATAAACTTCAAATCGTTGTTTATACTGCATAATAATTTTCTGTCATAGGAACTATGTTTGCCAGCTATTTATAACTAACACCCTTTTTATTTTTAATTATATGGTTTATAATACTATAATATTCAGTAATTAGTCATGCAACGATTAATATCATGAAATTTGTTACGGCAGAACAAATTTCATGATATTTATCATCGCATGACCCAATATCGATGTTATTGTGCAATTATGATCATGATTTACAAGTGTTTTAATTCGAGATTGTTGTACTTATGTAATAAAGTACAAAAAATAACAAGAAGAAAAAGATCTATGATCATAAGAGTTTGCACGATAATATAACTTATTTTATTTGATTTATATTTATTTTATTGGTTAAATGGACAACCTTTTCATACAGTCAACCCTTTCAAAACCGATCCTGTCAAAATCGATAACCTGATATAATCGATCAGAAATTGATCCACCAAGCCCGTTCCATATTTAATTTCTGATAACCTGCCATTTCTGACATCTAATATTCGAAATTTCTGATAGTATTTATGCTGGTTTTTGGGGTTTTTAAACCAAAATTATTTTATTCCGGGTTTATTAGAACCAACCCGGGTTCAAATTATCCCATTCTTGGTTTATCTGAACACAACCCAGGTTCAAATTATTCCATTATGAGTTCATTTGAATTCAACGTGGGTTCAAATGACCTCAATTCGGAACCTACTTAAATATAAAAACTTTGTGATTTAATTGGCCAATTTATATTGACCAATTACGTGATATTTCTTAAAACTGACAACCTCCCAAAACCGATGCAAAACCTGTAAACCATGCATATCAGTTTTGAGAGGGTTGGCTGTAGTCATGTAACTTTTATTGATGAAGAACTCAGTATTGTATTCAAGAAAAATAATTTAAAATAACGACGAGAAATACCATTAATTTATAATATGCTATATAATATTTAATTAATAATGCAAAAAAATCAATACTTTGCTAGATTAAAACTTGAGAAAAACAATTCAATGTCGTCTTTAAAATGACTAAAAATAAATACTAACCATTCATTAAGGAGCACGCCATATTCTTACACACTAGCTCTACTATTGCTAATTTCAATTATTATATCGTGCAACTTAGCTTGAGCTGTTTCCACTTGATCATTATTCATATATCTTTTATGAAAGTCGTTGATTACATTGTTTAGTATATTTTATTCATCTTGTTCATTTATTTGTGTACTACTTCGTGCTATTAATTCATGTATTGCCCATTGAGTTGCTGCCGTTAAAGTGACTAAAATATCCGTAGGTACCTCCTTTACATCAAAGTAAGATATAGTCCTTGTTAAAGATAGAATCAGTATGAATACCCACAATTTTATGAAATAAAAATTAATTGGCCAATTTAACACAATGAATAAAGTTTGTAGAAAATTTGGAAGGTGAAAACTAATGAGAGCAAACACACCAAATGTAAATAAATATCCTTTCTCATCTACTCCATACTTATTACTCGTAATGACCCACACAACTAAAAATATAAGTGCTAAAACTAACATTAACACAAATAATATAAGAAATATTAGATAAATTGTGTCGTAATGATAATTTTGGCTTTTTATAATAAAAATGATCCAGAATATTGGTCTCGTTACAACTGGAATAGTAATAAAACAAACAAGCATAATATTAAAAATTGTTGAATTATTAATCTCGTTAATATTCTTAATTGACGTATTTAATATTAATGCAATCTCTGCACAAGTTAAATGAAATCATGCGTTTGCAATGGAAAATATCTTTATATTTTGTTGGCCATAAGCGATAGAAACTATTAATGGAATCACCCAAGTAACTGTGTTATATAATAAGTCATCCAATAGCGGCAATAAAACTTTTTTAATTTTTCCGGATTTTCCAGAGACATTCAAAAGGATAACAAACGTAGCTGGAAAAATTGTATTAAGAAAAGAATCATAAACATTTTGGTGAAATGATGAATAAGATTCGTCAACTGTTAATGCCGACAATAGTGGAAAAAGTGAAAAAAAAGTAAATTTCCAGAGTAACATGTTCAGAAAGGTGAAATAACATTTATTTTTTGGCATTTTTATTGAATTTGAAGAAACAGGCTGCTTCAAAAAGAATTGTTTACATTCTCTTGATCATTAATTTTTGTACTTACGGACAAATAATTGCATTCAAAAGTTGCACGAAAACACAAAAATTATACGTAAACAGAAAATTTGGTCTTTGTCAATGCAATTTAATTCTTGGCTTAAACATTCTTATTTTTATTTATTGTCTCGAATATCCTTACCATATTGATTATATTACGTGTGACTTAATGTATTTGAGTTACGATTTAGTTCTCTAAAGCCATGTATTTGTGTGACTCTTTGTACGTGATACAAATGAGTAAGCTATATAAATCATAATATTTCATAAAATTTTAAGAACAGAAAGAATTTAATGTAGACAGTTTTATGTAAATTAGCACTGACTTTTCTAGTAAATTAATTTTTAAATTAAATGGAATTATATTAATTGTACATTGTATAATTAAACCGTTGAAATCAGAGGTTTGATAGAAATAAATAATGTATTACACTCTACCTTCATTATAGCGAATCCCATTAAAGCAGATCCCTCATTATAGCGGAGTAATTCTCTAGAACATTTCAAAATTATTATTATTATATTATATATATTTCATTATAACAGATGGAATTTCCGATCACTACAGTATAACGAGGGTGGGGTGTATTTTCAAATAAGCAATGTATCAATTTATTAATGATTGTTTTCGTTAAAAAGTTTACTAATTTCATGAAATGGTTCTTGTAGAATTGTTGACAACCATTTCGCTGAAAATTTGCCTTAGCCAAAACTAATTATAAATCGACCTGCCCTACTTAAACCAGGCCAACTTTTTCTACCGATAAGATTGGGTTATACGTACCCATAAATCGAAGGTCTCAAAATAGAGCACAAACCCATTATAAAATGCTGAAGATCTCCATTTAACTGACATGACCATTATATTTAAAAAGTTTACACTTGAACCTCCGATTAAAAAAATATTGCTGACAAAAAAAACCCCCAAAATTTCTAAAACATTCCTTTTTATTTCAAATTGCAAAGTTTGTAACACAAGATTTTTAATATTCCTATTTATTTTTGAAATATGTCAAATTTTTAATTTTAGAAATTGCTCAAGTGTAATTTCTGATATGATATATCAAAATAAAAGCCAACATAAGTGCTTAAGTAGTTTATTAAACGATATTAAAACTTTGCAAATGCATAAAAAAAGATAAGCCTAAGAATAAAAATATTGATACATTAGTATTTCAATAATTAATATTTATAATAAAAGGGTTAGTATGACCAGTCATGTTTCCAGACACTATTCTGAATGCCAACTATTTTCCTTTTTTTTCTTTTTTTTTTTTACAAGAATGTTATCAAATCCATCATATATGCTTTGATATAAAAATTCTAGCTAGGACTATTAATTAAAAAAATCTTTTAAAAAGTTTCTTAACGTAATAAAATATACCGCCTTTACTTTTCTTGGGTGCTATATCATATTGAAGTTTCTCTAATGCTGATTTTATTTTTTGGATATCCGGGCGTTTTTCCGGTTCATCGTCCCAGCAAAGTTTGTATAGTTCTAAATATTGCTCCGGTGTGCCCTCTATTCGTTCTTCTCTTGCCCCTTGAAAGATTTGATAGATTATTTCTGATTCATAAAGGTGTTGGAAGGGTGGATAACCACTTGAAATTTCCCAGAGAATAACACCAAAGCTATAAATATCTGATTTCTTATCGAATTTATAGTTATAATCTTTAAGATATTGTGGATCCATATATGCAGGTATCCCTTTGCCTTTAGAACTTTCCAAGAAATCTCCATCCGCCAATCTTGATATTCCGAAATCAGCTATTGTCATTCTGCCCTCATGTACCAAGACATTCTTAGGATGCTATAAAATGAAAGAAAAATTATTTATGTAAATTTTATTAAAGAATTCATCATTGTAATAAATCAAGGCTCTTACAAGATCTCTATGAATTATATTTTTACTTTCATGTAAGTAATATAGACCATTTGCAATGTCTAATGCAATTTTTAATTTCTCGTTCCAATCAAATTTTGCAAAGTATTGTTTCAAATATTCTCGCAAATTGCCCCCATTTGCATATTCCAATATCAAATAATAACTCTGCCTATCAGGATCTTCAGCTACTCCCAAAAATTGGTTAATATAAGGATTAGGGTCTTCTGCAATTTTGATTAATAATTGAACCTATTTTTTTATATAAAATAAAAATGTTACTTCAATTATCTTAAACTTTTAAATGATAATAATAAGGCTCTATTTTTATGTCGGTTTAACTTTAAACTAAAATTGATTCGCTTGTTGTATTTTAAAGATGAGGAAATTAAAATAATAGATTCAATTTAATTTAAAGCAAAACCAGTGGATTAATACTGGATATATGATTTAATTATGACAAAGTTGCGTTGATTTTGTCACTTTGGCCAGCGTTTGCTCAGAGTCGACTCAGTCAATGTTAGCATTGGATATATAAATTTTACATGTCCAATTTTTTTCAAAATTATTGGACATAAGGGAGATGGGGGTATTGTGGCCAGGGGGGTATTGTGGCCAAGTAGTATATCTTGTGATCTAGTGATCAGAATTGTATAAAATTTATACTATTCGATTCGTCTCACCGAGACAAATTGAATGATATAAAATTCAACCAATTCTGATCACTAGATCGCAAGATATAATCATTTATGCAAAATACAAAATTTCGCATATATTTGAATTTATTATTAAAAATATATAGAATATTTAACAGTTAATAAATTTTAATCTACTGGTCCGTTTTGAGCAATTTTACCACCAAAATGACCGTCTCAACGAGACGATTCTAAAAAGCATAGAAGTGTCAAAATCCAATCACGGGGCCCTGAGATCGATATAGATCTATCTTATTTATAAAATTATATTAGTAAATCTACAAAATTTTATATTTAAACCTTTAACGATCTCGAGATCTCATGATCAGATTTTAACGATTTTGTGCTTGTTAGAATCGTCTCATAGAGACGGTCAGTTTGGTAGCAAAATCACCCAAAGCGGACCAGTAGATCAAAAACTATTCACCATCAAATAATTGGCCACAATATCCCCTCCCCTCTAAAAATTTAGTTCTTATATTCTATTTTAATACTAATCATTTATATCTAAAAATATATATGATATAAAGATTTTTCTATAGTAATTTATTCTTTCTTAAGTATAGTTCAAATAATAAAAATTATATAAATATCTATATGATTATTAAAAAATTTTATCAGTAGAAACTTTAACTTGGCCACAATACCCCATCTCCCTTATATCAAATGCCAACAATGGACACAGTCAATAACCTTACTGATAAATATACAATTTTGGCGTACGTTGAAAAAATGGCAAAAAAATTTCTTCATCAGAATCAATCTCACTTACGTGTGGCATCGGGGTTTCCGATATACTAATTAATCAAATATATGTAAGGTACTGTAATTAAAACTAATAGTGTAGATAGATTGGCAAAATCGATCAATTTACAGGCAAAGACTAGTGTTCTAAAAATTGATTCATCTCGCGTACCTACTATTTTTTCTAGCAAGTTATACATCGAACGATTAGTTTAATATAATTAAACATAATTACAGTTTTTATAATATATTAAACTAATCGTTTGATATATAATTTGCTAGAAAAAATAGTTGGTACGCGATATGAATTAATTTTTTGAACACTAATCTTTGCTAGCAAATTTATCGATTTTGCCGATCTATGCTACACTTTACATATATTTGATTAATTAGTATATCGGAAGCCACAGTGTGGCATTGGGGTGTGCTACAGTCAACTAATTAAATCAACTTTTGTGTAGACCCATGATAAAAACAATTAGGAAATTTTTTAAAATGAATGTATAGTTACATGAATGAATATTACTTTTCAATAGGAATTTATTATAACTCCTCTCGCAATATTAACTCTTCAGATTTAAGAATAATATGAAACGAATTAAAAAAAGCTTAATTTGTCGTGGTGACATTTTATAAATATATTTAGACTATATAAATATCTATAAAGATTATATAAATATCTATAAAATATTAAAATTTTAAATGCAAAAGAAAATCCCCACGACAAATTAAAGAGCATACTTTTTATATTATTCTTAAATTTGAATAGTTAATATTGCGAGAGGAGTTAGATTTCAAAAATCTATCGCTTTCGTATAATAAATGTGACAATACATGTAAGTTTGATTTAATTAATTGACCACCCCCTCAGGGTGCGATGTAAATCAAAACTATATGTGGTCATATAATAATATTTATTAACGTAGATTTTTCGATAAGTAATAAATTTTATAATAATTATTAGAAAATTTTAAATTGATGCATAGACCTAACGGCTCGACAGGTTTTGGATAAAATTTTACAAAGACCAGTATTATATCTCTACAAACAGATCTATAGAACCATTTCTTTAAAAAAGGAATTAAATTAAGTTATTTCTACTTGACTTTTTTTTAAGAAAAAAATATATATAAATTTTGTCACATTAAAAAAAGAAATGGCTCTATTTTGTTTGTAAGGACGTATTACTGGTCTTTGCAAAATTTTATCCAAAACTGTCGAGTCGTAGGTCTATGCATATATTTAAAATTTTCTAATAATTATTATAAAATTTATTACTTATCGAAAAATCCTCGTTAATAAATTTTATTACATAGTTTTGATTTACATAGTACACTGCGCACCCAGTGTGGCATGTACTGTTACTTGCACATAAGCGACTTGGAAGAATTTAAGATTGAAGCAATTATAATTAAAGTTAAAATATTTACCTCTCTAATTAATTCCTTGATAATATTTTTACTTGAGTGCATTTTAACTTTTAGACTTTTAAGGGCAACAGGTTTGTCTTTGTTTTTCCAATATGCCTTTTCAACTTGACCAAATCCACCTTCGCCAATTTTCTCAATAAAATCAAATTCTTCATAATTATATATATTAGCTCCTGTGCTCATAATGACCTGCTCTGTTGAAGAATTGCCATCATCTTTAAATGTAGTTATTTGTATTTTCTCATGTTTATTCGAATTTGAGATTGTATTAAGTAGAGTAGAAGAAACGGTGTTGTTTACACCTTCTGAAGATTTGGCTGTATCATTTATAATATATTTAATAAGATTTGAAGATAATTTCTCGAGTTCATTTAAAATTTTATCTAGCATTGGACGCTCATCCGGCTCGGAAGACCAGCAATTCTGGTAGAGCTTAACATATTCATAAGGAGTACTTTCGACAGGATTTTCTCTTTTGCCTTTTGAAATTTCAATAATGATTTGCCACGAATGAAAACTGTTAAATGGGGGAACTCCACTTGTGAGTTCCCATAATAATACACCAAGGCTATAAATGTCGGATTTTTTATTGTGCTTATATCTTTCGTGCATAAAACACTGTGGGTCAATATAAGCTGGCATGCCATTAATAGCAGAGTTAATTGTAGTAGCAGAATCATCCAATTGTTTTGATAATCCAAAATCTGTAATCAATACTTCACCATCGTTTATCAGAATATTACGAGAATGCTAGAGAAAGTTTGTCATAAGACTCAATTATAGCAAATTTGAAATTTATACTGGAATTATAAAAAGACTTACTAGATTTCGATGTATGATGTCATTATCGTGTAAATAATTCAACCCACGGGTAATACCTTTCGCTATTCCAATAAGTTCAGTCCATAATATTTTATAATGCCCCTCTTCATGTTTTGCTTTTAAATGGCTTCTCAAGTCTCCGCCATTAGCAAATTGTAATACAAACATCCAATTGTTTGTTTGATCTAAATATATTATAATTAATGCTATAATTTATTTATTAATTTAACAATTTTTAATTTAAATAATACTATTGTTATACCTCTTGATACTCCGTAAAATTTAACGATGTTGGGATGTTGAGTAATACTAAGAAATTTAAGCTATATGCAATTATTGTTTATTAATTTACAATATCGAAGAATTTAATACAAAAATGCAAATAAAATATTACCTCACGCTTGAACTGTTTAAACTCTTCGGGATCAATGTGTAAATTATTTTTTAACTGTTTTATTACATACTTTTGCCCATTTAAAGTAACAGTGTATAATGATAATGAGAATTATCCATAAACAATTTGGGCATTGCTGAATTGTGAAAATTCGAATTTTTTTATTGCGTGTTTTTTCACGTAAGTTTCGAATTGATTTGAATAATCGGATGCTGTAATAATATAATCGTTAAAGCATTAGTTAAATATTATATTTGGACATTATTTTTTAGTAATTGCTATTCATGCCCCCTTTACAAATAAAGTTTTTTTTTGAATTTTAAGCGAAGATATCTCGACAATCACCAATTCAAATTCGATAAACTTTTTTTATCTGAATTCTATGCATTCGTGAATTCAAATATATAAAGGTTCATTGAAATTTGCTTGGTGGTTGCCGAGATATCTTCGCTCAAAGTCTTAAAAAACTCAAAACGTCTATCAAAATAAATTTTTTTTATTCTTTGAGAAAAGATGGTTTGACACTCACCAAGCCAAAATCTAATGAACTTTTTTTTTTATCTGAATTCTAAGAATATGTAGAATTTAAATAAATAAAATTTATTGAATTTGGCTTGGTGATTGCCAAGATATCTTAGTTCAAATTAATGTTTCGGAAGAAACTCAAATATTTATCCAAATCTGAATCCGAAATTCGGACGATACTAGTTTCGCCCAGCATGTAATTTTCTGAAATGTCCGACAAAATCTGGAATTGCCCATATTTTAGACTCAATCCGGAGAGTCCGAAGCTATGATTGGTCATGTTCAAAAACGTGTTCCAATCGCGTGAAATTTTTTTGGTCATAATTCTGTAATTGATATGTTAATTAGACAATTGCATATTTGTGACTCAACTACTGTTAAACCGATATGCACGGTGGACTGATCATGTATCAGTACTGAGAGGTCATCGGATTTGATAACATTATAAGCTATTAGATTCGTACTGTTGAACCTCCCAAAACCGATCCTGTCAAAATTGATAACCCATCAGTTCTAATAAAAAAATCAATCCACCAAGCTATATGAATCTAATAATTATAAAGTTTTCAAATCTGATGACTAATACAAAATTGGTCCACCATGCACATCGGTTTGGGGAGGTTTAGCAGTATTTAAATCCGTGAATATGCGTTAATAACTAGGATCGCAATGGGATCCCGATCAACTTAATAATTACTCACCGACGGTATTTATTTCACCGAAGCTCATTTTACAGACAAATAATTTTGGTCAATATCGTTAGAGACAGGCTAGAATTAGTGTAACTATAAAAAAAAGAACAAGTCGACGAAATGAGCTTCGGCGAAATAGACTGTCGGTGAATACTTGTCGGTGAAATAATACGGATCCGATCACTATGTATCCCAATAAAAGAATTGAATGTTAAATTTCTCAAAACCGATATGTGAACAGATTTTATTTAGTGTTGAGAGGTCATCAGGCTTAAAAACATTATAAACTATTGGATTCATATAGCGGAAGCGGATTAATTTTTTGAGATTTGACAGGATCGGTGTTGGGAAGTTCAACGGTATTTGAAATAAGCTATTCAAATTGACACAATTAATCTGTTGAATAGGATAGGTAACACTTCGCGTCACTCATCATTATAATGAATTTCGTATAATATCAAAATATCGAAAGTATCGGATTTATCGAATTTTCGTCTTGATTTCGGAATTTGGAATTTTTATTTCGGATCAACTTATTATAGTTGTTCTCGTAAATACTGGGACGAACTAAAAATTTGCTCATTTCCCGAAATCTCTTCGGTTTCGTCCTATGAATCATCTAGCTCTCCGGAAAAAACATCGCTATCTCCGGACTGAAGTTCCAAAGACAATGACGTGATTCCGAAGAGTTAGGTGACTTTTAGGACGAAACCGAATAGATTTCAGGAAACAACAAATTTTTAGTCTGTCCCAAAATTTGTGAGAACAGCTATAAATCCGAAATATTCAGAAATGAAAAAACAATTTCGCCTGAAATATTAGTTTAAATTTTTAAAAAACTCAACGCCTATAAATGTAGCTGTGCCAAAATTTTTCCCAATGCTTAAACGAGGGTACCTTAATAACCACTGGGTCAAATTCGATGAATTTTTTTTTATTTGAATCCTACAGATTCGTAGAGTTCAAATAAAAAAAAAAACTTTATCAATGTCTTCGCTCAAAAATAAAGAAAATTTGGCAAGGCTTCTATTTATAGGTGCTAAGTTTTTAAATAAAATTCGAACGAGATGTCTTGACATTCACCAAGCCAAATTAAATAAACTTTTTTATTTGAATTCTACAGATTCTTGGAATTTCGACAAAAAAAGTCATTAAATTTTGGCTTGGTGAGCATCGAGATATCTTTTCTCAAAGAATAAAAAAACACCGAATTTTGATAAGCGCTTTGAGTTTTTTAAGACATTGAGTGAAGATATCTCGGCAAATTTCAGTGAACTTTTTTTTTTTTTTTTTTTTTTTGAATTCTATGAATGTATAGAATTCAAATAAAAAAAGTTTATCAAATTTGACTTGGTGATTGTCAAGGTATCTTCGCTCAAAGTTCAAAAAAAAACTTTAATTTGCATGGGGTATGAATAGCAAATTTGGGGTACGAATAGCAATTCCCTATTTTTTAGATGTTGGAATCACGATATTTATATATTTAATTATACTAGAAATTATTGTATTTTATATTCAGTAAAAGAATCTCAAAAAATTTTATGCCTATAGATACTTGTTAAAAAAATTTCTTTTAAGTAAAAAGTCTAAAAAATGATTTTGATGAACTTTGAACTTTTTTATTTAGTACCCATTTTTGAAAACTTCGGTTCGTGATAAAATTTCCCGTCCATGAAATAGTTACCGCAACTCAAAGTAGCGGACATGGATGATATTTTGAATTTTCTTGGAGATGTTTATAATACAGCGATGTATCTTTAGGAATAGTTGGTCTTAGTCCTTTAAAAATTTCTATGACTAAGCTTAGATCCCTATCTTAATATTTAGAAAATACAACTTTTTCTAAAGAAATTTCCCACATAATTTGGCAACTCAAAATTACACCTGAGCGTTGTATCGAGAATTTACAGTAATTATAAAGATTGACCTTTTAAATATATAAATATTGTGATTTCAATTACTTACATGTCATTTCAACTATATTATACAAATCAAGATAGAGTCGTTTGAAATATTAATTAGTGCCAATGATACGGACTTATTTGTGCGCGCGAGTAATACAGCATGGGAACACATATTAGGTGCGACTAGTGATTAAACCCGGATGATACAGATTACACAAAATCAAATCCGGATAGATTTACACATCATTAATACAGCAATACGGATTGATCTGTAATCCGAACAGTTAACTATACAGTTCATATAGTTTGAACGGTTGATCGGCAATCCGTATAAACTGCGGACTTCGTATTTTTTACGGGAGGATCCCGAAATTTCCAGGTTGTAATGGCCGGAATACGTCGGGTTTAGGGTGGGTTAGATGGTTTAATTAGTAAAATGTTAGGGATCTTGGGTAAAATTGATCGATTCCGGTCCATCCGACCAGGTTCCGATGCGTTCTGACCTGGAATTTGGGATCTCCTATATGAGTTCAGTTTGTATAATTCATACTTAGTGATATTAACAATTCAAATCTGTATAATACGGATCGTATCTGTATCATATTAAAAGAGTCCATTTTGACACTTTTTCAATATTTTTTTTTTTTTATTTGATTTTTGAATATATATAATAAAAAGATCCAATAAAGTAAAAATTTTTATATATGTTCCTATTTGGTCAAAAATGATTATAGGTAAAAATAGACAGGACAATCCATATAGCTTACAGCTGTTTTCATTATTCCTGGGACACCTATAAAAAATTAGCCGAAAAAAATTTTCGGCCGGTAATTTTTTCGGCATGATCGGTATATAAAAAATATATTTTTGAATTCGTTCAATTTTAAT